TTAAACCAATCGGAAGCTATTAATCGCGATGTTTCAGCGCTCTCTGCTGCTTTTTGTAAACACTTTCCACTGCTGGTCAGAGTAGTGTCATCAGCATATAAAATAGTGCCACCTTCTTTCAAATGCGATGCGAAATCATTTGTGAAAATAATGAATAACAGCGGCCCGAGTATAGATCCTTGAGGGATGCCTAACTTGATAGGGATATCTTCAGATTGTTTCCCCTCAAAACTTACCCTCTGCATACGACTGCTCAGAAAGGAAGTTAGTAGTCTGCAGCTCAGGGGATGTAAATTGTATGCATAAAGCTTACGAATAAGGGTAGTATGACACATACAATCGAAAGCCTTTGATAGGTCCAAATATTCTACTAGAAGTGTTTCCTTTGAGTCAAAAGCATTGCATACCTTGTCAGTGAGAGAAAGCAGTGCGTCCACAGGGGATCTACCTTTTCTAAACCCGAACTGATGAGCAGAGAAAATGTTATTGTCTTCAAAATAACTGCCCAATTGAATTGCAAGGACTTTTTCAAGAACCTTTGAGAAAACGGGAAGGAGTGAAATAGGCCGATAGTTATTTATATCTTGGGGATCATCTTTTTTAAGTAAGGGCACTACCACCGCCTTCTTGAGACAATCTGGGAAAACAGCCTCTCTTATACATGCATTGATCAGTTTGGTCAATGGACTAGCAATTATATCCTTAATACTTTTTAGTACTTCCACATTTAAACCGAATATATCCCTAGCTCGACTCGTTTTTAAACTTGCAATGACACCGTGTACAAAGCCAACAGATACTTCCTTAAAAATAAAATAGTTATGACACAAAATATCATAGTTATTAACACAAAGAGAAACAACAGGATCAAGCTTAGGACTAGGTAAATTTTTTACTATATCAGAGGCAATGCTCGTGAAATACGAATTAAAGTTTTGTACAGAAATGCCGCTTTTTGATGTATCGTGGACTAAGACATTTTTGCGTTTAGAATTTATGATTTTCCACATGGCTTTTTGTTTGTTCGCAGCGGAATTAATGACTAAGTTATTAGCAGTCACTTTGGCATTTTTTATAGTATTACGATATAAAGCCCTGTAGGCATTTCTGGCTTTTTTAAGTTCGTCACATGGATTGCATTTGTATAAATCGTCAAGAAAACTTAAGTTATCTCTCATTTTTTTGAGATCTTCGCTAAACCATTTTACATCAGTTTTTAAATGATTGACAGAAATTCGTCGTTCCGGAAAAGCAAGAGTGTAATAATTATGTATAATTTCCATAAACGTATTAAACAGAGCATTGATCTCACTACTGCCAAAATTCAGAAAGGACCAGTCTACATTAAGTAGGTAATTATGGAAAAGTGATTTACCTAGAAGCGTGATTGGTCTAAACAATTGAGAGCTATTAGAAACTTTTGAATTAACTGCATTAAAATTAAGTTTGAAATGTAGTCCCGTGTGGTCTGAAAAATTTACAATTGCAGGGACAGTATTGTGATACTTAAAGTTTATATTCGTAAAGATGTTATCTATACAGTTATTTTTTCTGGTTACAAAATTACATGTTCTACTAAGGCCAAAACTTAATAGCAAGTTACACAAATCATTACGTTTCCCATTGTTATCAAGAAAAGAGACGTTAAAATCGCCTCCGACTATTACATTTTTGTTGACAACACAAGATAAACTTAATAAATCCTGAAGCACATGTAAAAACTCCAGAAAGCTACCAGATGGCGGTCGGTAGAGTGAGATGATGACAATATCGAGAGAACTCACTTGAATGGCTGATAACTCACAAACATTTTTCCTCGATAGGTGTAATACAGAGCAAATTTCAGTGCATTCAATGTGATTCTGTACCAGAATCATTGAGCCCCCATATCCTTGTTCAGATCTGGAGGAGAAGGAGCTAATCTGGAAATTGTTCACTATTAGACACTCACACTCTGATTTACGTAACCAGTGTTCACTAAAACAGAGAATGGAGTATTTGTCAAGTTTGTCTGCTAAAAAGCCTTCTAATTCACAAGATTTATTACGGATGGACTGAATGTTCAAGAACAGAATTCCTAAACAATCTTTGGTTACCGTGGTCATTTGTGGTGCTGCGGCGGCTTCCTTGGGTGAAAAAATCTTGATATTAAAACTCCGCTTGGCCAATATTCCGGTTTGTTAATTTTTTCGAGGTTTTCAAAATTAATGGTTACTTTGAATCTGGCGTGGTTTTCTTCGTGTTTATTTTCAAGTAGTTCACAGATCACTTCCGGGAAGTCGTTCATAAGATACGTCTTCAGGTCATCGGCTGTAGTAGTTTTGGCAAGTCGTCTAATATAGAGGTATGCTTTTGCTGGTGATGATTTCAAAGCACCGGAATCACTATTTATCCCAATAACACACTTTTTATTAGGTGTGTCGTTTTTTGGTCTCGGCGTGTTCGATGTTTTGGTGACGCCGAAGGTATCACCTACTTTGCTTTTGTTGGATCCGCTTATTTTCTTTTGGGTCTGATGATGTTTAGCGTCCTTTTTTGTGTCGTTTAAGGTCGTTTTTGGCAATTTCGAGTTTGTTTTGATTGTAGTGTCGCTTCTCGTTTTTATGTGTTCAATCGTGTCGACCATAACTGCTGTCTCTCTTGATGCTTCGCCTTCAGCGCTGTTGGCGATATCGTTATCAGGTTTCTTACCGACCTTCTTGTCGGGGTTTTCAGGGTTTTTATAGTGTAGTAGCTCAATGTGACTCTTCATTAATTTGATAACACCTCTTAATTCGAGGATTAACTCATCTTTCTGTTTCAAAATGTAATGGAAAAGTTTATAATCCACTACTTTGTCATCTGCGTCCAGAAAAATGTCACTTTCGAGTTCCATATCCTCGGAATCGTCGGAGGTTTCACGGCAAAAAGCGGTGTTACATATCCAGTTCTTCTTCTTATGGAAACCTCGTAGGTTCACATTAACGCATCGGGGGTGGAAGCTTTTGGTACACACAGAGCACGTAATTAAGGCCTTAGTGTCGTCTTCGGCCGAATCGCAGACAGCACATATCACACGTGCGTTCTTGTCAGACATCACTACTACTACTTCGTTGATAAAGTGTGGCAAACATTAATCTCTCGTAAATTTGTTACCTTTGCAATTTTTCACCTCATACAATTTTTCTCTATCTCTAATTTGATTTCATTTAAATTTCATCCAAAGTTCAATAAGTTTTTTTTTGAGCTGAAAAGCGATTGCGATAAATAATTTTGTGTCCTCCATTAATTTTGTGTTTTATTTAGCGGTAGTTTTCCAACCTTGGGGTACACCATTTGCATCTGAACGTATCCCGCCATTTTTCGAAAACACAACTTAGGTGCCATTTTGTTAGCCGATCACAGCCAAGGCCAAATTTTGAATTTTTAAATTTTTCGCGGGCTTTCATTTTTTTTCACATGTCAATTTAAGGCGGGGTGTTTGGGTGATCACAATGTTCGGAGAAGAAGTCTACACATATTAAAACAAAAAGGCAAAATATAAGCCCGCCCACCCACCCTACCTCAATTGTGAGTATTTTTTTATTCGCCGTGAACGAAGGGGGCGGAGCTTAACTGCAACATTTTTATATCTTTACAAGAAATTAAAAACATGTTTTTGAGTATCGTTCAAAGAATACTATGCACACTAAGAAAAAACGCAAAATATAAAAACCCCGCCCACCCACCACAACTCAATTGTGATAAATTTTTTATTCTTAGAAACTTGAAACACGTTTAAAAATGGTAAATTTTTATAAAAAAATATGGATTTTGCAATTAGGCTCCGCCCCCAGGGTCTGCCAACGAATGCAAACTTCTTTATTATTTAGATCAGGGCAGGTATGGGTCGGGGTTAATCTTTGGTTTTAATTTTTTTTAATATACAATTGCGGCCTTCCAAAAATACACGATAATTTTCTCTATGGTAAATGTGTGTTCAAATCATGGGCGTTCGAATAACAAAGTTTGCCAAATTTGACAACTTGTTTATTCAAAAATGCTACGCCACTGATAATAGCCAAACTTACGTTACCACGAATACGGTATATGATGAATACTTTGAGGTAATATTTATAAATTCCGCCTTATCAACTACAAGATTCGGAATATTAGAAAAGACTAAATCAAGAAAGACATTTCTACTATTCGGGATTTTGTTAATTTGCCTTAAATTCATAAATGCACTCGTAGTCTTGATAAAGTCTTAAGAAATCTTAATATCATCACCATCCCAAAGGAGATGAGGTAGATTAAAATCACCGAATATAACGCACGACGAATCGGGAAACCTATCAAAAACTAACTCCAGATCGAAACAGTAACTTTCAAAACATCTGTTACTAAGTCATATTTAAATGTTAACATCTTTAATATACAGCATGTCTCAGCCTAAACTACGCGGCCTAATATCTTGGACAGAGACTTTAAAATTCTGTTAACGCCATTCTTTTTAATTTGAAGGGAGAAACTTAATTTAATACATTGCAAATATGGCACGTACAATACATGTCGACAATGTAGAACAAACCTATATTTTTTTAAATTACAACGTATACCGCGTGGTCAGAAATAACTGAGTCTGTTGGCAGTGCTTTTTAAACAAAAATGTAAACTTTTCTTGCCTTCATGTTGGCATAACTGAAGAAATTGCGTGACAGATATGCCAATCTTGACAGCTGACAACCGGAAATTATAGAAATCATTCAACTAAAGATCCAGGATTGCCAACAAACACAATCATTTCCGATCACACGGTATTTTTATGACGGATTCTGGTTTCTGCGACTAGAATGATATACAACATTTAGATATTTATATTTCTTAAGTAAAAATAAAATTTATAGCCATAAAAAATTGATAAGAAGTTTAAAAATCTCTGAGGACACTGTCACGCCATCTGGGAAACAAACTTGTGCTGGGAACGCCAGTGATAAAGTTTATCGTTGGCAACACTGACCATAAGTGTGCCACGCCTACGCCCACCTCGACACGTCACACGCCACGAGTAAAAAAACCGTCAAAGCTCAAAGCGAGATGTGAACTGAAACGTAGTAGAAATGTGTGCTTATTAAAAACGCGCAAAATAGTGTTCTTGTGCATTTATACACACTCATAAAATGATAATACTAAGAACAAAGTATTTTGGTATTATAATTTACGTAGTTTAATAATGTGAAGTTGAAAAATTCATCGACACGTCGACATAACCTAACAATCATGAAAAATGATAATCCCAAAATGAAAGTGCTAGAGCTGTATAGTGGAATTGGCGGAATGCACTTTGCCCTAAAATGTACGTATTTTCAACGCTATCAACAAAACCTATTATATTAATTTCAGGTAGTGGCGTGGAGGGCGAAGTAAAGGCATCAATCGACATAAATCCGGTTGCTAATTTAGTTTATCAACATAACTTCCCGGACGTGACGTCATTTAACCGTAATATCCAAAGTCTTAGTCCAAAGTTCATCAACAAATTAGACGTCGATACACTTTTGATGTCGCCCCCGTGCCAACCTTTCACAAGAAATGGATTACAGTTAGATGTTGAAGATGAAAGAACAAAATCATTTATTCACATTTTAAAGATTTTGCCAGATCTAAACATCGAGCGTATTTTGATTGAAAATGTGAAAGGATTTGAAACATCACAAATGAGAGATCTGTTAATTGATGCATTAAAAAAATGCGATTTCAATTATCAGGAGTTTATCTTAAGTCCTACACAAGTTGGGGTGCCAAATACTAGGCATCGATATTACTGTTTAGCAAAGAAGTCTCCTGCAGTTTTTAATTTTGATGTGGAAATATTAGTATGTGTGTTATAATTTTGGTAGGATAAAATAATGTTTCATTTTGTTACAGAAAACTGAATTACCTCTTCCACACAACTGTGAAAATATCAACAACTATAATATTGGTGAAATTATAGAAAAACATCAGGATTCAAGTTTCAAGTACCTAGAAGACAAAATTTTAACAAAACATGTTAAAATCCTAGATATATGTCACTCGAATTCAAGAAATTCCTGTTGTTTTACTAAAGCTTATGGACGTTACATTGAAGGTACTGGTAGTGTTTTCACTGAAGAACCTGAGGATATTGTAAGATCAATTTTTGAACAACTTTCAACATTGGACTCACAAAGTCAAGAATATTTACAACTAGCGCAAAAGTTGAAATTGCGATTTTTTACTCCACGTGAAATTAGCAGGTTAATGAGTTTTCCAGAATCTTTTTCTTTTCCTGATAGTGTGAAAAATAGGCAAAGATATATGCTCTTGGGAAATAGCATAAATGTTAAAGTAGTAGCAGAACTAATTAAGTTGTTGAAATAAGTACTAAGTACTAAACTTAAAAAAATTTAAAGTCCAATTATATATTTTCCTTACAACTGACGGCTGCAGTTTATGTGAGGTGATGGTCACATTGAAACCTATGAAATTTTAAGTATATTTTTTTGTAAAGGACGATTTCATAGGATTCCAAAAATTCTACACCTTTTATTTCAAAGTAATGCAGAAGATAGCTGTAGAAAGCCTACAGTTGATGGAACTTCTATTTTAAACAGATACACATGATTTGTTTCTCACAAAAATTTTTAAGCTGCTTATTGCTTGAACAAGTTAAATGTAAAATCCTTCATCCTTAAGTGAGAGTTTTACATAGTTCTTGCACCTAAATGGTCGATTTGTAAATAATATTAATTCATCTGCGTCTTGATGTTTTCTTGAAAGGTTTTAAAATATTTGATGATGCTAAAATCCTATTTTTAAAGGAAATTTTCGCTGTGCTTCAACTGCACCGCTTTTACTCATACTTTGTTTCCCTTATCTGTTTCAAATTTAATAATTATATTGTCGAAAGCACGAAAGTCATCATCGTTTGATGAAATGTGAATGTTTTTTTATTGTAGTGGCTAGAACCATTTCCTCATAATATTTCCCTTTGTCAGTTGTTCCGCACCTTTTTATAAAACCTTGAAAAGAAATGAGCAAACAACTGCTTTAATATTCTTAATTTTCTGTTTGTGAAAAAAAAAGAATTGCAAATTATTGTAAATTGTAATCGAGGGCATTAGGAATAGGGACATTTTTTATTTTAGGATTCTTCACAAATTGTTGCTAGAACCACCTCCTCATTATCTTTCCCTTTGTCTGTTGTTCCGGGTCTTTTTATAAAACCTTGAAAAGGAATCAGCAAACAACTGCTTTAATATCCTTAATTTTCTGTTTGTGAAAACAAAAAAAAATTGCGAATTATTGTAAATTGTAATCGAGGGCATTAGGAATGTAGAAACTTTTATTCTGTATACGATCCTCCGCGAATTGTATGGCGAGAGCCACCTCCTCATAATCTTTCCCCTTATCTGTGGTTCCAGTTCTTTATATAAAACCTTGAAAAACAATCAACAAATGCTTGCTTTTATATTTTTAATTTTCTGTTTGTCAGGACAAACAAAAAAAAACAATATAATTCCAACATATTGTAAATTTTGTTGAACCGCCACAAATTATAGTGGCTACAGCCACCTCTTCATTATCTTTTCCCTTATCTGTTGTTCCAGCTCTTTTATAAAAGCCTGAGAAGGAATCAACAAATAAATTCTTTAATACTCTTAATATTAACAAAAAAAGAATTCGAAATTATTGTAAAAAATTTTTATTCTAGGATCCTTCACGAATTGTAGTGGCGAGAGCCACCTCCTCATATTCCTTCCCCTTATCTGTGGTTCCAGGTCTTTTTATAAAACCTTGAAAATCAATCAATACACGCCCTTTTATAATTTTAATTTTGTGTTTGTCGGAACAAAAAACAATTCATTCCAACGTATTGTAAATCGTAATCGAGAGCATTAAGAATATGGAATTTTTTATTCTAGGCTCCTTCACAAATTGTAGTGGCGAGAGCCACCTCCTCATAATCTTTACCTTTGTCTGTGGTTCCAGCTCTTTTTATAAAACCCTGAAAATGAATCAACAAACAACTACTTTTACATTCTTAACATTTTGTTTGTGAGAACAAAAAAAAAATAATGTGATGACAACTTATTGTAATTTGTAATCGGGGAGACTAGAAATATGGATTTTTTTATTCCAAGGTCCGTCACAAATTGTAGTAGCTACAACCACCTCCTCATGAGCTTGTCCCTCATCTGTTGTTCCAGGTCTTTTATAAAACCCTGAAAAGGAATCAACAAATTCTTTAATACCCGTAATTTTAGCAAAAAAAAAGAAGTCGAAATTATTGTAAATTGTAAGACAGGGCATTAGGAATATGGAATTTTTTTACTCTAGGATCCTTCACGAATTATAGTGGCGAGAGCCACCTACTCATATTCTTTCCCCTTATCTGTGGTTCCAGTTCTTTTTATAAAACCTTGAAAATCAATCAACAAATGCCCCTTATGTTTTTAATTTTGTGTTTGTCAGAACAAGAAAAAATACAATGTGATTCCAACGTATTGTAAACTGTAAAAAAAATATTATTCTAGGCTTCTTCATAAATTGTAGTGGCGAGAGCCACCTCCTTATAATCGTTCCCTTTGTCTCTTGTTCCGTGCCTTTTTATAAAACACTGAAAAGGAATCAACACATTGCATATATATTCTTAACTTTTTGTTTATGAAACAAAAAAAATGCAGTGTATTGACAACTTATTATAAATTGTAATCGGAGGTGTTAGCAAGATGGATTTTTTTTATTCTAAGGTCCATCACAAATTGTAGTGGCTAAAACCACCTCATTATCTTTCCCCTTATCTGTGGTTCCAGTTCTTTTTATATAACCCTGAAAAGAAATCAAAAAACAACTGCTGTAATAATCTTAATTTTAACAAAAAAAGAATTCCAAATTATTTTAAATTGTAATCGAGGGCATTAGGAAATTGGAAATTTTTGTTTTAGGATCCTTCACGAATTGAAGTGGCGAGAGCCACCTCCTCATATTCTTTCCCCTTATCTGTGGTTCCAGATCTTTTTATATAAAATCTTGAAAAGCAGTCAACAAACACCTGCTTCTATATTTTTGATTTTATAATTGGTCAAAACAAAAAAAAAAATACAATGCAATTCCAACGCATTGCAAATTCTAATTGAGGGCATTAGCAATATGGATTTTTTTTATTCTAGGCTCCTTCACAAATTGTAATGACAAAAGCCACCTCCTCATAATCGTTACTTTGTCTGTAGTTCCTGCTCTTTTTATCTGCGTCTTGATGTTTTCTTGAAAAGTTTTAAAGTATTTGATGATGCTAAAATCTCCTTTTTATAGGAAATTTTCGCTGTGCTTCAACTGCACCGCTTTTTCTCATACTACGTTTCCCGTATCTGCCTCAAATTTAATAACTAAATTGTCCAAAGCACCAAAGTCATCATCGTTTGATGAAATGTGAATGTTTTTTTATTGTAGTGGCTAGAACCACTTCCTTACAATATTTCCCTTTGTCTCCTGTTCCGTGCCTTTTTATAAAATCCTGAAAAGGAATCAACAAACAACTGCTTTGATATTCTTAATTTTCTGGTTGTGAAAACAAAAAAAGAATTACAAATTATTGTAAATTGTAATGGAGGACATTAGGAATATGGATTTTTTTATTTTAGGATCCTTCACCAATTGTAGTGGCGAGAGCCACCTCCTCATAATCTTTTCCCTTATCTGTGGTTCCAGTTCTTTTTATAAAACCTTAAAAACCAAATTCCTACTTTTATATTTTTAATTTTGTGTTTATCAGAACACAAAAAAATCCAATGTAATTCCAACGTATTGTAAATTGTAAATCGAGAGCATTAAGAATATGGATTTTTTTGTATTCTAAGATCCGTCGCAAATTGTAGTGTCTAGAACCACCTCCTCATAATATTTCCCTGTATGTGTTGTTCCTTGTATAAAACGCTGAAAAGGAATCAACAAAGAACTGCTATTATATTCTTAACGCTCTCTATGTGAGAACAAAAAACATGCAATGTAGTGACAACTTATTGTAAATTGTAATCGGGGGCACTAGGAATATAGATTTTTTTATTCTAGGGTCCGTCACAAATTGTAGTGGTGAGAACCACTTCCTCATAATCTTTGCCTTTGTCTGTGGTACCAGCTCTCTTCATAAAACCCTCAACAAATGCCTCTTATGTTTTTAATTTTGTGTTTGTCAGAACAAGAAAAAATACAATGTGATTCCAAAGTATTGTAAACTGTAATCGGGGGCATTAAGAATTTGGATTTTTTTATTCTAGGCGTCTTCATAAATTGTAGTGGCGAAAGCCACCTCCTTATAATCGTTCCCTTTATCTGTTGTTCCGTGCCTTTTTATAAAACACTGAAAAGGAATCAACAAACTGCTTATATATTCTTAACTTTTGTTTGTGAGAACAAAAATAATGCAGTGTATTGACAACTTATTGTAAATTGTAATCGGAAGCACTAGCAATACGGATTTTTTTATTCTAAGGTCCATCACAAATAGTAGTGGCTAAAACCACCTTCTCATAATCCTTCCCCTTATCTGTGGTTCCAGTTCTTTTTATACAACCCTGAAAAGAAATCAACAAACAACTGCTGTAATACTTTTAATTTTAACAAAAAAAAGAATTCCAAATTATTTTAAATTGTAATCGAGGGCATTAGGAAAATGGAAATTTTTGTTTTAGGATCCTTCACGAATTGTAGTGGCGAGAGCCATCTCCTCATATTCTTTCCCCTTATCTGTGGTTCCAGTTCTTTTTATATAAAACCTTGAAAAGCAGTCAACAAACACCTGCTTCTATATTTTTTATTTTATAATTTGTCAGAACGAAAAAAGTACAACGCAATTCCAACGCATTGTAAATTGTAATTGAGGGTATTAAGAATATGTGGTGGCGAGAGCCATCTCCTCATATTCCTTACCTTTATCTGTGGTTCCAGTTCTTTATGAAACCACATAACCACCTCCTCATAATATTTCCCTTTGTCAGTTGTTCCGTACCTTTTTATAAAACCCTGAAAAGGAATCAACCCACACCTGCTTTTATATTTTTAATGTTTTTTTTTTCGGAACAAAAAAAAGTACAATGTAATTCCAACGTATTGTAAATTGTAATCGAGGGCATTAATAATAAGGAATTTTTTTATTCTAGGCTCCTCACAAATTGTGATGGCGAGAGGCACCTCCTTATAATCTCTACCTTTGTCTGTAATTCCTGCTCTTTTTATCTGCGTCTTGATATTTTCTTGAAAAGTTTTAAAGTATTTGATGATGCTAAAATCTCCTTTTTATGGGAAGTTTTCGCTGTGCTTCAACTGCAACGCTTTGGCTCATACTTCGTTTCCCCTATCTGCACCAAATTTAATACTAAATTGTCGAAAGCACCAAAGTCATCATCGTTTGATGAAATGTGGATGTTTTTTTTATTGTAGGGGCGTTCACAAATTGTAGGGGCTAGAGCCACCTCCTCATAATATTTCCCTTTGTCAGTTGTTCCGCGCCTTTTTATAAAACCCTGAAAAGGAATCGACAAAGAACTGCTTTTATGATTTTAATGGTTTTTTTTTCGGAACAAAAAAAAGTACAATGTAATTCCAACGTATTGTAAATTGTAATCAAGGGCATTACCAATATGGAATTTTTTTTATTGTAGGTTCGTTCACAAATTGTAGTGACGAAAGCCACTCCTCATAATCTTTACCTTTGTCTGTAGTTCCTGCTCTTTTTATCTGCGTCTTGATGTTTTCTTGAAGTATTTGATGATGCTAAAATCTCCTTTTTATGGGAAGTTTTCGCTGTGCTTCAACTGCACCGCTTTGGCTCATACTTCGTTTCCCGAATCTGCCCCAAATTTAATACTAAATTGTCGAATGCACGAAAGTCATCATCGTTTGATGAAATCTGAATGTTTTTTTTATTGTAGGGGCGTTCACAAATTGTAGTGGCTAGTACCACCACCTCATAATATTTCCCTTTGTCAGTTGTTCCGCGCCTTTTTATAAAACCCTGAAAAGGAATCGACAAACAACTGCTTTTATTATTTTAATGTTTTTTTTTCGGAACAAAAAAAGTACAATGTAATTCCAACGTATTGTAAATTGTAATGGAGGGCATTAACAATATGGAATTCTTTTATTCTAGGCTCCTTCACAAATTGTAGTGACAAAAGCCACCTCCTCATAATCGTTACCTTTGTCTGTGGTTCCTGCTCTTTTTATCTGCGTCTTGATGTTTTCTTGAAAAGTTTTAAAGTATTTGATGATGCTAAAATCTCCTCTTTATGGGAAGTTTTCACTGTGCTTCAACTGCACCGCTTTGGCTCATACTTCGTTTCCCGTATGTGCCCCAAATTTAATACTAAATTGTCGAAAGCACGAAAGTCATCACCGTTTGATGAAATCTGAATGTTTTTTTTATTGTACGGGCGTTCACAAATTGTAGTGGCTAGCACCACCTCCTCATAATATTTCCCTTTGTCAGTTGTTCCGCGTCTTTTATAAAACCCTGAAAAGGAATCGACAAACAACTGCTTTTATGATTTTAATGTTTTTTTTTTTCGGAACAAAAAAGTACAATGTAATTCCAACGTATTGTAAATTGTAATGGAGGGCATTAACAATATGGAATTCTTTTATTCTAGGCTCCTTCACAAATTGTAGTGACGAAAGCCACACCTCCTCATAATCTTTACCTTTGTCTGTAGTTCCTGCTCTTTGTATCTGCGTGTTGATGTTTTCTTGAAAAGTTTTAAAGTATTTGATGGTGCTAAAATTTCCTTTTTATAGGAAGTTTTCGCTGTGCTTCAACTGCACCGCTTTGGATCATACT